CCTGCGAGTGCGGCTCCGTGCACTCCCTCCCCAGCTGGTACCACAACCACCTGTGGTGTGCCCGGTTCTGACTCCTCGCCACCTTCCTGTGTTCCTGTAGCAGGTTGAGGAGAAAAATTCTCAATTGTGAAGACATTGCCTTCTCTCCTTGCATCTTTGCTTGGTACTAGGTTCCAATCCCATTGCTTGTCTTCTTGGAACACGACATCTCGTGTTACATGAATCTTCTTTGTTACCGGATTATACACGCGGTAGGCTTTGGAACCCTGTTGATATCCTAGCAACACCATGGGCATGCTTCGGTCTGCAAGCTTCTTGGGGAATGGACTCACTGTCTTGACATGGGTGAGGCAACCGAATAGTCTTAAGTGATGCACCTTGGGATTCCTTTGAAACCAAACTTTGTAGGGCATTTTCCCAACAACGCTTTTAGTTGGTGCACGATTCAATAGATAAACCGCCATGGTCACTGCCTCACCCCAGAAACAGCCAGGCATGTTCTTGCTCTTCAACAGGCTCCGTGCCATTGCCACCACTGTTTGATTTCTTCGCTCAACTACGCCGTTTTGCTAGGGCGAGTATGGTGTGGTGAGGAAATGCTTGATTCCATGCTTGTCACAAAAAACTTCAACCTCTTTTGACGTGAACTCACCCCCCTGTCAGTCAGGAGGGATTTGAGCTTCAATTCCACCTCCGTTTCAGCTGCCGTCTTGATTTTTTAAGGTCCTCCAGTGCCTCATCTTTTGTTTTTAGCAATGAGATCCACATATACCTGCTGAAATCATCAACTAATAGAAGAAAATATCTGTTACCTCATGCTGTTGGCGGTGAAATTGACCCACACAAGTCACCATGAGTCAGCTCTAGAGGTCTATTTGTTCGGTAGCTTGCTTCAAGAGGGAAAGGTGCACGGCGTTGTTTACCAACAAGGCAGCCATCACACACTTGATCAATGTGATCCAGGTGTGGCAACCCCACTACCATGGCTTTGTTAGCTAGATTTCGGAGTGCTTGGAAATTCAGGTGGCCATAGCGTGCATGCCATAACCAAGCATCTTCCTTTATGCTTGTCAGTAGGCGTACTGGTTCGACAATATTTAGATTAAGAATATAGAGTCGGTTTCTGGACCTCCTGGCCTTGGCTAGCAGCTTCTTGCTATGATCAAAGATGCATAGGTGATTGTCTTCGAGTACCACACGGCACCCGTTCTCCTCCAACTGGCCGAGACTGACAATGTTGCTCCGCAGTCGTGGTATGTAGTAGACGTCCGTAAGAATGCGGTGTTCATAATTTTTGCACTTGAAAAGAATGGTGCCACGTCCTTGGATCTCAACCATAGAGCCATCTCCAAACCTAACAGTGCCTCCCACAGACTTGTCCAACTCTGTGAACTTTTCCTTGTTTCCTGTCATGTGATTGCTTGCACCGGTATCTAGAAACCAAGAATCACTCACATACCTTGTTTCACCTCCCAAATCTGGAACCACACGTTCCTCATTGAGCATCACCTGGACGTTTGGCTCCTTGGTGGCTTGCACTAGTGCGCAGGTTTGTGCTACCAGCAAAGTTGGCTCATCGTCATCCTTCTCGGCTAAATGAACTCGTTCGTCTTTCTTCTTGAATCGGCATTCTGAGGCATAATGCCCCATGTAGTTGCAATTGTAGCATTTGATTTTCTTCTTGTAGTCTTGATCGGCATTCTGAGGCATAATGCCCCATGTAGTTGCAATTGTAGCATTTGATTTTCTTCTTGTAGTCTTGATCATCATCGTGACCTTCCTCAGCCCATGTAGTTGCAATTGTAGCATTTGATTTTCTTCTTGTAGTCTTGATCATCATCGTGACCTTCCTCAGTACGGCCATTGTCGTGGCCTTGCCCGCGCCCGCATCCCCGGTCATGCCAGTTGCCTTTGCCGCGCCCCTTGGACGTGCCCGAGTTGGAACCCTCACTGGATTCCTTCTCCTTTATGTTCCACTCCTTCCAGGTCAGTAGGACGTGCTCATTATCATCCCCGTCGCTGGCACGGACCCTCTCCTCGAAGGTCTTGAGACGACCAATCGCCTCCTCCACGGTCATCGTCGTTAGATCAACAAATTGCTCGATTGACGTAACAGTCGTTAGGAATTTGTTGGGGACGACACGAAGGAGCTTCTTCACGACGGTGCTTTCATCAAGTTTGTCGCCTAGACTAGCAATCTTGCTGACTATTGCAGTCAGCTTTTCGGCGAAATCATCTACTGCCTCCATCTCATTCATGCGGAGGATTTCAAACTCACTTCTGAGAGTTTGGAGCTTTGCCGCCTTGACGTGATCTGCACCTTCGTACATGGTCTTGAGCGTCTGCCAAGCCTTCTCCGCCGTCTCCTTCTCTGCTATTAGCAGCAGGCTTTTTTCGGGGATGGCTTCATAAATGGCAGCGAGCGCCATCTTGTCCTTCCTTGTCTCCACATCCGTTCCAGGCTCGATGGCATCCCAGACGCCTTGAGCTTGCAAGTAGACACGTATCTTGATAGCCCATACAGCATAGTTCATCTTGGTCAGCATTGGATAGTGAAGAGTTACGCCGGATAGTTTGTTAATCGGCGCGCCTGTGGTAGCAGCGTCATCACTGCCGGAGCTGCTGCTTCGTGGCATGATCTTTGGCATACAACCTCGCTCTGATACCAAATGTTGGACAAGGGACTCACTCAGACCTTCGTGGCATGATCTTTGGCATACAACCTCGCTCTGATACCAAATGTTGGACAAGGGACTCACTCAGACTCTCTCACACACTCAGTTGTGTTGGACAAGGGACTCACTCAGACTCTCTCACACACTCAGTTGGAACTACAAGAAAACTCACTGTAAACAAGAAAAGAATAAGATTGTCTCTCAATCTTCGTTGCTACAAGTGTTTGCTTTGAAGCTCTGTTTTTTATTGAGTACTGATGGTCCCCTTTTTATACATATCAAAGTGCAAACCTGTTTGCCTATTTATTTGCAACGTTATTCCTAAGGAATAGGTAAGCTTGAGAATAGGTAATCTAGAGAATAGGTCAAATAAATGACCAAATCAAAACAAATAACGTTAACAAGATTACTTGCAATAATCTCCCCCCTAATCTTGTTTTTCCCTTTTCTTCACAGTCTACAGTCCAATCTTGCTTCGCAACTCTATGAATTTCATACGACTGAGTGGCTTAGTTAAGATGTCAGCTAGCTGCTCTTCTGACGCGACATGCTCAACTCTGATTCTCCCGTTCTCCACGCTCTCTCGAATATAGTGATAACGGGTGTCGATATGTTTACTTCGGTCATGGTATACCGGATTCTTGCAAAGCAATAATATCTTTAGATAATTTCAATGTGGAGAGTTGCCCTTGGATTGATTCTCTACAACATTCTTTATTGATCTACACTTATATTCATCGAATGATAGATTGTTCAACAAAATGGCTATAAGATCTTTCTAATATTCTGAGCTTTAACTGTTGTGTTGGCTTCACTTTGAACTTTTTTTTACAGCATATTCAAGTCGGGTAGAATTGAGAGTTAGGACTAGCTAGAACTAGGTGTTGCTTATTGTGGAGAGTCAGGTTAGATGACCGGTTCTGGGAGATTCCAGAGTACTATCTTGTAAGCCTACTAAATCAGATTTTTGATTCAGGAGAACTCTTTGCATAGTGAGGAAACTCCTTCACGAGAAAAAAAAGAGTAGATATAGAATTATTATCCAAATCACTATAAACTCTTGTGTGTTCCTGATTGGTTGTCATTTGTTTTGATTATAGTTAATCACTTTCATTATATATTTTCCGCTGCATATTCTGTGTTTTTGGCGAATAACTTTGGCAATCCTATTCACCTCCTCTCTACACTTGCATCTGAGATCCAACACCACATGTCGCTGCAAGTATCATCTATGTGGTTTACCTCCGCGACGTCGATCTTAGTTTCGGTTCGAAGATGGGGAGATTAATTAGTTTTCTCGTTGCGGTTTATTGAGTTAATGAGAGGACTTCTTCTTTGTTTGGGCGACTGATGCGTGTGGACGTGGTGATTTTGTTAAGAATATATTAATGTGTCCTTCCTCAAACTGAGTCCTCGTTATTAACTGCACAACTAGTGGCTTCGAAAGTGTTATGTCTACAGGATGATCAGATCACCGTGAGCATGCATTGTCCAGGCCGGCCCTAGCCATCATCATTCGAAAACTGGTGTGTTTTATTTGCTTCGTCCTCGCCTAGGTGTTTGAGCTACACAATCTCTCCGTTATTGGATTTTTATTTTATTTGGATCTCTTTTTAGTTCCTTAACTCGGCTTTTCTTATCGGATCTCGAGTGACATCTCGATCCCTTGTCGTGTCACTCGTGTTATTGTCCATCTGCTCCATTGATCTTGATATATTATTCTAGCGACCTATATTCGTCGTCTTTGGTTACTTTCTCATGCATGTTGAAGTAGGGAAAATTAAATGTTGAGGTGAACTGTGAGAGACGGCCGGGGTTAATTAGTTTGACAATACAAACATGCATTAATGAAAGATTAATACTGATATTTTCCATGAGTTTAATGTTCGTACATGTGGGAACAAAATTTTTAATGAAAGACCTTTGACTAAGAAACTAGTGGGATGTGATTAATATCTAGGAGTAATTTTCAAATTAGTATATATTAATTAATTAGTCAATGTAGTAAGACCGAAACAGATGGATACTGAAACTAGTCAACAAGTATATAAAATAAAATTTTCACTATACTGATATCAAATATGCTGCCATCCCATTTTCACCGGTGAATAACAAGATATTATCATTGGATCAGGATCCTTTCCGATTAAGTAGTAACTGATATTAAGTAGTAACTGAAGAGTCTCCAATTCCTTCAACTATTGTCGTATGTTCTGCATTCAAGAAATGAGATTAGGCTGCAAGCTAGATAAAACTAGTATGGTCTCAAAAAAAATCATTATCACAACAGTGAAATCCTGCATGGCCTAATCTCATCCAATGAATTCAGAATATTTTACACTAATTAGAGAACTTGGAGATTCTCCAATTGTCATCTAATTGAAAAGGATCCGAATTCAGATTGGGTCAAAACTTGATTGAGTCTGGCTAACATTATTAGCATTGATAGGATACTTTATTTTGACCCATGGTCTGTTTAGCTGCTTTAGCATCGATAAAATTTAATAAATAGTATTCAAAAAGTCTAAAATTAGGAATTGGAATCTTGTCGGACTCTATGTAGGCGTCAAAAATTGCCTATAGGTCCCCGAATACAGCTCAAGACAAAGAGAAGACGATGAACGTTATTATCCGAGTCGAAGAGGATTATCCGACGCCGACAAGCGCATGAAGCAAATCGGCGAACCGTTGATGACACGACAACGAACCACCACAACAGCAAACGCCAAGTGGCTCGCACGCGTCAATCAACTCAAAGCGTCCAAACGCGCCCAACAGTCAGTTAGCACACGCGTATCATTCAACTCGCGTGCGTCAATCAGTTCGCGTACGTCTATCAGCTCGCGCACGTCGTTCAATACGCGCGCATCATTCAGCTCACGCGCATCGGTCAATACACGCGCACCAATCAACATGCAGGCATCAATCAACGTGCGTCAATCAACTCGCGCGGAGCGTACAAGTCAACACGACGGGCGAGTAAACAAAACGGGGCCGCGCGGGTCGGATGCATCCGACCCGTGCAAGCGCGGGTCGGATCGTGCTGCCCCGCGCCCCTTCACGCAGATTTGACCCGAAAACGCGTTTTTGGCGGTTTCGACGGGTTTTCACGAGATCTTTTCAGTTTCAGAGGTTTCTAACTGCCTAAATTCTATCTCTAAACATGGTTAATCAGTTATTAACTGAAGATAAGGAGGAATCAATCATTCTTATCCTAAAACCCGCATCCGGAGCCCTATAAATACAAGTCTAGGGCCTCCTTTCAGCGGGGATGAGTTAATTATCAAGACGAGGAGGTGCTGCCGAGTTGGAGAGCAAGGGAGCACGAATTTTAGTAAGGGTTATCGAGATCCCGGTGAATCCCCGCATAAAGAAGGAGCAATTCGAAGGATCTGAAGCATGTTCCTGTCCGTTCCTCGAGATTAGGCTTGGTCTTAATCTCGAGAAGAGCTACTGATTTCGCTTGGTCGATTTCAGCGCTTTAAGCAAATACCTCCTTGGTGAGGTAGGAGCTCTGTCGAATTTTTAGCAACCGGATCTGATCAAAGGTGGTCCACGGATAAACACCGGCACTGGCGAAGACACCCACACAAGCAGGAGACGATAAACGGACTCCCTGCGTTTGTTTTGACGAGAGTTGTAATTTCTGTTTTCATTGTGTAAAAGTCTTATAAAAAGACGATCTTTTTATTTTCATTGTAACGGTTGAAGTTGTAATGAATACAGCAATTTTCGATGTAAACAAACTGACAACCATAGTGGGAGCTAACGGTCTCGCTGCCGAGGCCGTCGTGTCGCAACCGACGATTAAGATCCCAGTTGAAGAGGTGGTCGAATACGAGTTCGACCAACAGAAGTATGAAGAATACCTCTGATCCTCCTCCTACAAATCCTCCGCTTCTCGCAAGCACAGGAAGATCAACGCCCCCGTTACTGTGGTAGCTGAACCTTACAGCGCCCTTCCGGCCTCCAACGAGTCCGGATCTGCAGATCTGAACTCCTCCTCAATCAAGGAGTTGAGTACAGAAGGCGCGCCCACTTTATTGAAGAGAGCTTGCCAAAGGTAGCGCCAACGCATTGCGCGCCAACTCCTTAGGGCTTTGGAGTTAATTGACGGGATCCGTTACGAGGCGGATCTGAAAATTAGGCAACGCCAAACGCCCCAACAGCGGAAAAATACCCTCTCCTCCAATAGTGAATGGATACAAGTCAAAAGGACCCGTTCAACTCTTGAAGAGCGGATCAAAAAGCGTCTCGCACTGCTTGTGCACGCGCAAATTCTTACGCAAGAGGCCAAAAGGTTGCAGAGGGAAGTAGTGGAAAAGAAGCCACAAAAACTAAACAAGTTTTGGAGGGCCAAGTTTCAAGAGCGCGCCGAAAGATCGAAAAAACAGGTACTCAAATCCGACCCGTCAAAACGCGGGTCATCTCGGGAATCCGACCCGCCAATTGTTAGGATTACTCGAATCAGACCCGCCAATTCGGCACGGTCACTCGAATCAGACCGCCAATTCGTAGGCTCACTCTTGAATCCGACCCGTCAGTGTGCGGTCACTCGAATCCGACCACGGCCAATTCGCAGGTCACCCAGATCCCGACCCTCCAAGCTGGCGTGTCACCCAAATCGACCTCCAAAGCCGCGGGGTCCTCAAATGCCGACCCTCGACCCGCGGGGTCACCTAATTGACCCGCTGCAGTTAAGGCAGAAGAGTTATGCCCTGTTTGTCTATCCCTTTGAGTTTCCGGCATCTCCGGTGGGCCCCGCGACAGCTGTAGCGTTCAAAAGACTACTAATAGATTCCAAACATAGGGGGGAAGTCACTCGAAAAATCACAAGCAATTGTGCCTCATCGTTTTGGAAATCCAAGACATGTGATGAACTGTCTCGCCAGCGACAGCCTTTGCATGTCTCGCCACGAGGACGCTTTGCTGTTCTCGCCAGCGAGCACAGACTTGTGCTA